TTTTTCTTCTCTCGTTTTGATAAAACAAAAAAAAAAAAAAAAGAAAGAAAAGACGAAGACCAAAGAATCACAAAAGAGCACTATGAGTATCAAAATAAATCAACTGTCAGATCGATAAATGAAGTAATTAAAGTAAAATCAATCATTGAGTCATGTCGGCATTTAAAAAAAAAAAAAAAGAAAAAGAAAAAGAAAAAAAAAAGAAAAAAATTTCTACAGAAATATAATATAAATTACATAACGAAATATTTTCAAAAAAATTCTCATAAAATTTGTTCTTCACTGATGCCATCGTTATTTCACAAAATCTCTTATTTTCATTTATCTATTTACATATGTATTTTCTTTTTATTTCTTTTTCTTCTTCCTTTTTTTATTTTTTTCTTTTTTTTTCTTTTTTTCCTTTTTCTATTTTTCTTACAGTCGAATTGACATCGATAGAACCAAAGAACGGTATGAATGAATCGAATGTATGCGTTTCGATTTATATCGATTTCGAACGATCCTCGTAACGAAGCTATCATCGTTCGACCGTGAATATCAAACTACGAATCTTTTTTTTTTTTTTTTCTTTTTTTTTTTTTTCCCAGTATTAACGAGTTATATATATTTCCTCGTTAAACTTCATGTTATACACATGCATAGAGAGAGAGAGAGAGAGAGAGAGAGAGAGAGAAAAGAGAGAGAGAGAGAGAGAGAGAGACAGAGAGAGAGAGACAGAGAGAGAGAGAGAGAGAGAGAGAGAGAGAGAGAGAGAGAGAGAGAGAGAGAGAATCGTAAATTGTTAAAGCGATTAGAACGTAAACCGTGTAGAATATCGTTTGAATGTGTCGTCTCTAACGGAGCGTATAATTGTTCTAGTAGTTAATTAACATCAACATATGTATATATATATATATATATATATATATATATATATATATATATTGTTTTTACTCTTATAATTAGGGAATGTTCTAATGCATTTGTGGTCCTTTGTAATATTCCTCTGATTTTGAAACATTTTCATACATACATTAAGTGTATATATATATATATATATATATATATATATATATATATATATATGCTTATGTATATGCAAGTGTTAGTCAGAGAACGCACACAAAATTGCTTTTCGAAGGAACTCGCTTAACATTGGCAAACCTACGGCCATGAGTTAAATCCTGGAATTAATAATTAATCCTGCTTGCGCTTGTTTGTTAACGCTCTCACGTCTGATCTAGATTCTTGATTCTTGTTCCACGCATAAAAATGATTTCGTATTCTCCTTTTTTTCTTTACTCTTTTTTTTCTCTCTCTTTTCCTTTTCTTTTTTCTCTCTTTTTCTTTCCTTTTTTTTTTTTTTTTTTTTTTTTTTCTTTCTTTTACCACGAAATAAAATGTTACATATATATATAGAATGTAATAGGAGGGAAGATTTGATGTTAAACGTAGCAAGTAAATTCTTCGAGGATTATTTGCTTGAAAAAAGAAAAAAAATGGAAAAGAAAAAGAAATAAAACGTGGGATAAACTTTGCAAATTCAAAAATAAATAACAATCGTGTATTATTGCAGAAAGAAAGGAAAAAATCTCGTTTAAAAAAATAAAAAAAAATCTTCCTCCTACAGTAAAGGGTTATTTATTCTTGGCCCCTTTTTTTAACCATACGATGCTGTTCTAGGAGACTTTGTGGTTAATATCAACCCTTTGATTAAGTTTCTTAATTAAGCGTTAGCTTTGCCATTCCAACTGACCACAATCCATTTATTATTCTACTTTCTCTCTCTCTCTCTCTTTCTCGTTCTTTCTCTCTATCTATCTCTTTTTCATTTGTATAAATTAAATGAAAATATTTCCATCTTTCTTTTCCTCTCTCTCTCTTTCTCTCTCTGCCTTAGCTATCACGAAATAGAACGAAAAGCAAAAAAAATCTCTGTAATTAATCGTATCCGTTAAGTTAAAATCTTTTTTTTTTTTTTTTTTCTTTTCCCCCCTTTCTAATTACAAATTCAATCTCATTTTGATCCATGACATTTTCAACGATCCACAAGTGGGATCTATATTATAGTAATCCAAAGTTCATAACGATTTTATAAAGTCACGATCGTACACACGATGACGTTTTGAGTTCATTGTTTCTCATTCGATGAGCGTAACTGTCACTAAGATAATTAATGAGTATAGATTAATTAAACTTGAATGAACGATTAGTCTGGTTGTACGACTGCTTTACATTCTTTGGCGACGTGCCATATGTAACCCAACCACCTTCTCCCTCCCTCTACCATTCTCATGCTCTCACAGATTGGTCGCTCCTTATCTAATTACAAGTTCGTTTTTTTTTTCTTTCTTTCTTTCTTTTTTTTTCCTTTCTTTTTTACTTTCTCTCTATCTCTCAAAGTCAAATTTTTCTTACATTCATATCCGATAAATCCTTTGATTTCAATTCCTTCAAAAATATTTATGTCATCGATTAAATTTCATTCGAATGAAATTTTATATCGTATAATAATGATAAGAATTAACGTGATTTCGTTAGCTATAATTTTCAAGAGTTATGTATTATTTTTCTTTTTGTAGATTTTGTTTAATGTTTAATATATATATATATTATATTATATTATATTATATTATATTATATTATATTATATTATATTACATTATATTATATTATATATGATCTTACAATTTTTTTCTTCTCCCTCGTGTATAGTATTTCTCGATTCGAGTGAGGGATAGAATTATTCGAAAAATTCCGTGGAACGCCGATAAAGGTCGTAGTATTCGATCCTCGTCTTTCACGCATACCGTTTAAATAATTTAATAAATTTTTCA